TGAAAAATACACCCAAGTGTATTTTTTTTCCCTGACAAAACTTTAGTACTTGCACCTCCATCTCCCTGTTTCCCCCTCTTTTCTGAAGGCGCTGAAAACTCAGCATGCCACCAGCAATCTTTGGAGTCTTTTGAAGAACACAAGCTGTCACATTGTAAGAGAGGTGTGTGATGTTTCTTTATTATTCTTTAATTGAATTTCTTGTAATTTAAGCAACCAAGGTTTTGTGAGGGCTTCCAAGTGGATGTAGCAAGAAAGTCTAGGCTTTAAAATCTGACTAAAGAACAGCCTTGCTGTCTTCTGAGCAGCCCAACCAAAGGAAAAATCACAGAGCTAGGATGAGCAGAAGCAGTAGACTTGTTTTGTAGTTATGCACAAGGAAAAACTGAAGTCATGGCCAATGAAGTGCCTCCAAAATACTTGCACTATCAGGCAACTGGTATTTGGGTTTTGTTGCAAGCAAAGCTCAGTGCTCAGGCCAGCTGAAAGCAATTCACTTCTCATTGGAAAAATAGTTTCTTCCTTTTAATCAGCTCTGTTTTAAATGATTTCCATTTTTAGTGCCTTAAATAGTCATTTTGGTTTGTCCTTCAGGCAGCCAGCATTTTCTCATGAAGAATGGAGTGGGTCTGCAGCCTTTGAAAGGACAAACAATAGCCTGGCAAACAAACACTTCCATGGCATCTTGTTTTCATACAGAGCCTGTAACTCCCATGGGCTGCAAAGGAATAAAAATCAACAGTCTCTATCTGATCCAGCAGCTAGAAGAAGCAGTAAGTAACACAATTATTACAAGTAACCCAGTTTGGAGTACAGGCCAAGATTCCTGGGTTTTCATACTCTTTTCCATTCCTAGTATTTCATACTCCATTTCAGCTTAGACAGGTGAGAGACTCCGGCTTCCTCTCTCATCAGAATGCCTCTTTCTTCTTACAAAGCATCTCTATTGATATTCTGTCTTAAATAAGAGGGGGGAAAATCTTTTATATTTGAGACCCAATGTCCCTTTGTTCTGCTTGAGGTCTGGCTTTCAAAACATTTCCTTATATTTGGATAACACAGCCTCATACGTGGGATTACAGAGAGCTCCCAGAGCTACTCATGTCTTCTCTCCTACCTCTCAAATATGACAGCTCAACTCTATTGATGTTCTTGCTGACTGGGTTTTGGGTCCTAAGGCCCTGCTCACTTAGTTACAGGCTTGAATTTCCCTGTAGCTGTCTCAGATAAGCTAATGAAGTCAGTGCAGGCATGAGGCACTCTTGATTTAGACACAACTGAATTTGAAATGATTTTCATGCCTCAGGGCATAAACAGCTCCTACCTCATGGAATTATAAAGCATATTTTCCCCTGGACAGGTTATTCCACAACTGACCATTGAGTGTTTCTCCTGCAGCAGCTGATGTTGGCTGCTGTCTGAGACAGATGGAAAACTGAAGGACTGTGACCTGACCCTCTAAGGTAAATGTGTACTTTGTGGTGCCAAATGGCCTCTGGATGGGGAACAGAGAAGGATCACTTTGCTTTTTCCAAGTGTGTTGTTGTGGAGTTTTGTGAATGACTGTGAGGGCAATAAGGCCCTGTCCTGTGGTGCAGGCTGCCATTTACAGCTGAATAAAGTGATAGCAAAATGGCACAGGAACACTGAGCCTGTAAATCACCCTGCTTTGGTGCAAGGCAGGGGCAGGGATTGATGGATGCAGAGCAAATTTTTGTAGAAGCTGTAGAATATAATAGAAATTCTATTATTTCTAAGAGGTTTTATACCAGAAGAAAATTCTGTAGATGTATATCCTATATGAGGGCTGTAAGTCCTCTGTAATGGATATTTTGTGTTTGGCAGATTTCTCATGAGTGGAAGGATAAAGCACACAGCAGGATTTCTGCTCTCACTTGTAATTACTCCTGCAAGGAGGAAGCAGAACGCTCCTGAGCTTGACTCTTTTGTCCAGGGGATAATTTGGTAAGGACTCTGGAACAGGTGAAAAATCAGTGGGTGAGCTGTTTTTCCAGAATGGATCCTGCATAGAGCTGTGCACTGAATTTCATCCAGATGAAACCTGTTCTTCAGTCTCTGCCCAAACTGCTTCTCATTGTTGACACTCCTCCCTCTCAGTCTATTGTGGGTCTAATCCTACCAGCTCTCACTTTACACCAGTTGTTTGGAATCCTACACAGGCTGGTGAGAGGTGGTGCAGGTCTTCCAAAGAGCACCAGAAGGAACTCCTCACCTTATGCCAAGGTCTGATCCACGTGTGTCCCCATGGACAACATGGACCTGACCTGGATGTAGAGGAACCACACTCTCCCCTGTGGTGGCAGAGACAAGCTATGTCCTCTGACTATCCAGACTCTGCCCAGCTTTGAACAGTGAGGGGGTGGAAAATCCAGCCCTAATGCATTCCTGAACCAGACTTGCAGAATTCCTGAGCTGGCTCTGGCACACTGCTGGGCACAGGTAGAAAAGCCAGGAGCTCGTGGGCACTGCAGTGTACACACCTGGTAATGAATGCACGATTGTCTTTCATTTGTTTACTTTGGCCTTTTGATCGCCACAATAGTTTGCATTAATTTTTTCTTTAATTGCTGCATCTATTCCCTTGGCCTTGGTTGTTGCCTTGGAGACCTTCAGAGAACTGCTTATGACAGCAGCAGGTGTGGATAGTGCTGACCTGGCCAAACCTGTGTGAGTCACCTGCTGATGGGGGGGCTGTAGGTGTCTGCATGAGTCACTAAAAGTGAGGGGATCCCACATTCCTCGTCTCCTGAGGGGAAATGGTAATGCCTTTGGGTGGCTTCCTGTCACTCTGAGCCTGTAGCTGCTCCTGTGGAGGACAGTGATGTTTGCATGGGCAGGAAGCAGGTTAGAGGAGCTGTTTGGATGTGTATGTACTTGTCACAATTCTTTCTCAGTGGAGAAAGAAAGAATTAAGTGGACCAGATTAATGCCCCAGCTGCCAGCGAGCTGTTGAGAGCACGAATTTGGGAATGTTGGAAAGGAAGGTTGGGCTCCTGTAGGCAGAGAAGTGGAGGACATTGGCCTCGTGTCTCTGGACAGGCAAAACACTTCTAGAGAAATGAAATGAGACACCAGAGGGGCAGGAGTGCTGTAATACTTTGATGTGCAGAAAAGGACAACCAGGTGATGGTTTTCAGCAGTGCTGGTGCATCTCTTGGTAGCTCAGTGCCTGGCAACTTCAATAGCAGTGCAGATCAACTGTAGGAGCATCCCATATGGTCCAGAAAGCTGTTCATGCATTTCTTCCCTCTGTATTACTCTTGATGACTGTTTGAGATCAGACACATCTCTCATGAGCAGCGATCCGGCTGCTCGGCCTTACGCTGTTCCTGTAAGAGAGGTGGGAGCTGTTCCTCCTGAGGCATTGCCTGCTCTGGGAAATGTGCTGCAAAATTCCTCTAAATGTGCTGCAAAATTCCTCTAAAGCCACCTTCCCTTCATGGGCAAGGGCATGTGGGGTGACAGCATATGACTGGTGACCCATGAATGAGCTAAAGAGTGCATTTGCATGAGACCAGCAATTGCCCAGGTGCTTGTACCATATATATAATATATGTATGTGTGTGTGTGCACAATTCTTCTGAACTGCTGGACAGTCCCTAAGAAATAAATGCATGTGTGTACATGCAGTCTGGCCTTCTGTCACCAAATGTCATACTAATAGACACCTGTGTGTCTGACAGGGAAGGAGATTTAGAGAGAAGCTGCTCTGTCCTTGGGTGTAAGGAGATCACATCTCCAAAGCTCTAAAAGATCCACTGGGCAGAGGAAGTGCAATTTGCAGTAACTTTTACAACACTCTCTTTAGTGCCAATTTCTTGCCAGTGCTGCTGCTGCTCAGGTTGTGTTGACCTGAAGCTGAAGCAGGGACTGTGTTTGCTGGTGAGGCTGTTGGTATTTTATGGCTCTGTGGAGTGTTTTGGGAGAGGAGTGACTGCTTTGCTCAACTGCATTCATTTCCATCATCCTTGATGACAGAACAAATTAAAAGATATTTCTGGACTGAAGTCCTTCCAAGGGGCAGCTCCTCCAGGATGCCTTTGAACCTGCTGCCCATGAAACCACAGGGCAGCAGGAACCAGGCCTCAGTGGTGTTTTCTGGTCCCTCTGAGGCTGGACAGAATCCTCACGGGCTTGTCATCACCCCATGTCCTCGCTATTGCCCTATGGCTGTAGGGTCATAAAAATGTGAGGGAAGAATTTCCAGTATCCCCTCGGAGACATCATCCCTGGCACAGAGGGTTCAGGCTGGGGTGGTTGAGGCAATGAACCCTGCAGTGACAACCCTTGCGTCATAAGAGATGCTCCAGTCCCCCAATCCTCCTTGTTGCCCTCCTCCAGACCCACTCCAGCACCTCGGTGTCCCTCTGAGGGCAGCTGACAGAATCACAGATTAACTGAGGTTGGAAGGGACCTCTGGAGATCAGGGCAGGGTCACCTGGAGCAGGTGACACAGGTGGGTTTGGAATGTTTCCAGAGAGGGAAGCTCCATGCCCTTTCTGGGCACCTATTCCAGAGCTCCACCACCCTCAACCTAAAGAAATTGGGGGAAAACTTTTTGTGTTTTAGTTTACGGCCACTGCTCCTCATCCTGTCACCGGGCACCACTGAAGAGAGTCTGGCACCATCCTCGGACACGCCGGGGAGATACTGACATGGATTGCTGAGATCCCCTCTCATCCTCCCCTTCTCCAGACTGACCCGGCCCAGCTCCGCAGTGTCTCCTCATCAGAGAGCTGCTCCAGCCCCAAATCCTCTGGGTGTCCCTCACAGGACCCTCTCCAGCCCCAAATCCTCTGGGTGTCCCTCACAGGACCCTCTCCAGCCGCTCCCTGTCCCCCTGAGGGAGCTCCCCCTCAGCGCCGCCCCCGCGCTGCCGGCGGCGCCCTGCAGGTGGCGCTGCGCGGCGGGGCCGGGCCGGCACGGGAGGAGGGGGAGGAGGAGGAGGCAGCGAGTGCCCGGATCGGCCGCAGCCGCCGCCGTCGCCCCGCGCAATCCGCCGCCATCCGCCGCGCCCCGCGCCCATCGTCCCTCCGCACCCGGCTCCGCAGGCACCCCCGGCTCCCCGCCACCACCACAGGTGGGTATCGGGGGCCGGCGGCGGCGGCGGCCGCGGATATTCGGGGCGGTGAGTGGGGCCGGGGGGGGAGGAGGAAGGGGAGGGAGAGGGAAGGTGGGACGAGGCAGCGCTAAAATGGAGCCGGAGCCAGCGGCTGCGGCACCCCGCGGCCTCCCGGCTCGGGCGGGTCCCCCGGGCGGGTTGGGGGGAGTCTCGCCCCGGTTTCTCGCTGCTGTAGCGCCGGTGTTTGTTGTGCGAACCGCCCCCCTTCTCCCTGCGGGGACGGGGCCGCGGCGGGGCCTGGCCGGGCCCATCCCCGGTGGCGCTAGCGGGGCCGCCCGGGCTCGGGGCCCCTTGTCCGGGCTCCGGCCGCCGGGCCGAGCCGCCCCCGCCCCGCTGCGCTCCCCGGAGGGTGCAGCCGGGCCGGGGGGCTCCCCGCCGCAAAGGCAGGTTGTTTTTTTTCGGCGTCTGGAGTGTGACACAAAGATATTTTCGTCGCGCCGTGTGTGTGTGTGTGTGTCTCAGCAAAACAAGGGGGGGGTGGCATCCAGAAGGCTCGGCCGGTTTGTTATTGTGCGGGAGCTACAAAAGGGCCGCTGAGGCCGAAATGCGGCTGGGGCGGAGGGGAGCTAGGATGGAGTTTGTGCGCTGGGCGAGCTCGTTTGGTAGGTTTGGAAAGATGTTTTAGGCCTTTTTCTTTTTTTTTTTTTTTTTTTTTTTTTGTTCAAGAAGGAGTTTCTAATTTTTGTGTGGGAGCAGCTGTGCTGCAAGCTGGGGAAATCCTAATGCGGGTCCTGGGACACGTGCTGAGCATCTTCTCCGGGGGGTGGTTTTAGTGTGTTGGTTGTGAATTTAGAGGGTTTTTTCTTTGCAAAAACCCCCCTGATCTCTAAAGTCAAGGCTGCCGTAAGGGGCTTGAATGAGCTGGAAATTGTGGGGTTTGTTAGGAAAGTTGTTGTGTTTGGTTTCTGTCTTCTGGGTGTGCAAAGGGTGAGAAAGACATTGAGTATCTACTCATCGGATAAATATTCATTTATTGATGTTGCTGGTGTTTGGGGTATAAGGTGCAGTAAACATAAACGTGTAGGGATTTAGTAGTTTTGTTTCTTTCTAGGAACAGGTATAAAGTGCAAGCACATTGCAGTGTCTGCATCATCTCCTAGGGGGGAAGGCATCCCACCCCTTCTAGCCCTGAATCCAGCTTTATAATGGAAGTTTTGGTTTTGTTAAGCCTTGTCTTACAGATTCACTTGACCACCTCCACTGGAATGGGCTCTTCCATGATGGATAAATAGCTGGTCCCTGTTTTGGAGAGCCCAAGTTTGGAGAATCAACTCCTGATGAGTAGGTTTCTCAGATATGAACAGGCCAGGACATTATTTTACTTGCCTTTTCCATGTTCAGTGGTAGTGAAATCCCAGTGTTCCCAAAACTAATGCTCTGAGCCAGAGACTGGGAGTAAAGTCACCTGGAAGAGATAGGGAAGGTAAGGCCATGCTCTGAAAGTGGAATTTAAAGAGAGGATGGAAAGTGATGTTTTCAGGCTGATTTCTGACTGAAAATAATTAAATACTTACATGCATTTTTCACTCCCAGTGAAGCATTGTAAATGAGCCTAGGTTTTATTAGAGCTCGTCTGTGGTCCATGAGGTCTTTGTGGGTTCATCATGGGTGATGCTGTTTCTTTTGGGTCTCTGGCTTAAGAAGCTTTTTCTGGTTAGCAGAATATTTTTGGGTTATAGTAAACAATCCATAATGTTTTTCTTGTTAAAATTTAAAAGTTCAGATAAAAGTCGTACTCAGAAAAATTGCAGATAATGTTTGGAGTTGCTGCTTTGTTGGTTTTGCAAGCCAGTGTGAGTACATCTGCTATTAGCTATATTTTGAGTTTGTGCTTAATTTTGAGTACAAGTTCATTACTTTTTTTTTTGTTCATTAGTCTGGTATGCTTTTCTGCCTGGTTGAGTAAAGTAGGTATCACACATTTGAGGATGCTTTCAGCAGTCTTCACTGTTGAGAAAACAAATTTTTATATGATTTGACAGTTACTTTTCTTTAAAAAAAGATAAACCACGTGTTAGGTATGGGTTTCCATAATAGTGCCTTGGTGCCTTGTTTTTTCTAAATTCGGAGATTTTTTCTTTGGTCTTACAGTGCATTTTTTGGATGCACTCTGAGCTTTTTTTCTTTTTTCTGTGTGTGCATGAGAGCTTAAAAGGGCAGCTCAGCCAGCTGGCTGAAACTGGAAGAGTGAGTAAATAGTCCATAAAGATGCTGGAAGGGATACACAGGGTTTAAAAGTATTTTTGTTTCAGTAAGTGAGTAATGTCGCTAAATATTTTGGATTAAAGTTATTTCACTTTATAGTGACATCTTAATAAAACCTTTTAATAAAGCTCTGTGTAAAGGCTGACTTCAAAGGCTGATTTATTTATTGAAGGTAGTGGTGGCATTAGGGGCTGTGTTTGTGTGCCTGCCTGGGTGATGGCACAGGACAGAAGTGCTCAGTGCCCGGGTGTGGCAGTATTTAAGAGTAAGTCAGCTTAGGTTTAAATGCTGAAAATAATACTAAACCTTTTGGTTTTGGTTTTTTGTTTGGGTTTGTTTTTTTTTTTAATTTATGATGGTAGTCTACAAAGAGATTTTGCTCTTGTGTTTCCACTTAAATTGTGTATTTTCATGTTGAAAAACATGAAAGTTCAGGAATAAAAGCAGTATGAGCAGGAGGAACTTGGTGATACAGGTTGGTAACTTTAGGAGAGGGTTTATTCCAAGGGCTGGACCTCTCTGGTTCCCTGTTTCTTTTTACTACATTCCTCATTTATTCTGCAACTTGGCACTGAGCTGTTGTCTCAGTATCAGACTTTGCTCTTAAGCTGATCCTGCTTTGTTAAGTGGGTTTTGTTTTTCATGTGTCACTGACTCATTCTCCTAATTGATGGATAATTTCACAGCTCCTTATTGCCAATTTCTCATTTGGAGCAGAAGAAATAGAAGGATGCTTCTGTCAGGTATCAGACAATGAGGTGAGAGCACAGAGAGCAGGTAAAGGCTGGGGAGCTGCAGCTCTCTCCATCACAGAACAGCCTTTTCTAACTTCTGAAATAAAGTGACTTTGTTACCACCTCCGAGGGTGGGTTTTGCACACATCTGGGTTGGTTAAAGAGTTTTTCCTTCCCCCAGAAGGATAAAATGGGGCTAAAGCAGGACATTGCATTATATCCAGCCTCGCTGAAACATTTCTTGGGCTCATGTTCTATTAGTAAGTTGTATTAAAATTCAGGATGTTCCCTGCCTGCACGTGTACTTCTGGTGCAAAAGTAACAGAGCAGTTGGAGCTTATGAGCTGTTTATTTCAGAGCAAAGCTCTTCAGATACTGATCTCTAGAACTATTAAATCCTGATCTGTTTTTTTTTATCTGGGAGCATTTGGACAATAACCGAAGTGGACTGGAGCTGCTTTAGAAGCCCTGTGTTGTTCAGTAATTGCCTTGGCCCTGGTTGGTTCTGAAGCTGCTTGTGCTGCCTTGCTGTGGGGTGTGTGGGGACCAAAGGTGCTAAAAGGTGTATATGCAGCTCCGCAGGGGGTTATTTTAACTTGCAGCCAAAATACAATGTCTGGTTTGATTCCAACACTTAAATTTTCAGGAGAGTGTTAATAGGCTGAGAAGGTGATAAGGGGTGGAAGTGGGGGGTGAGCTCACCGTTCCATCTTTAGGAGACTGCAGGTAATAATTTGTGGAGTCTGATGAAAGTCATACCTTGGGTGAAAGGGAAGAGATAATGACCAGGTTTGAAACGGGCAGCTGAGCCAGGCTTAAGTGTGAAGGACTACGGGAAAAATAACTGGGAAGAAAGGGAGGACTTGATAACAACCCGCAGGATCTGGTCAAGAGGCCCACTCTGTTGGACTGTAGTATCTCAGGTGTCTGCCAGGCTTCCATCAGCTGTTGGGGGCACCCTCAATAGCCTTCAGATTTCAGGTGGGTAGCACTTAACAGGAGTAAACTACTGAGTATTGGTGCTGTTAACACCCTTACTGAAGAGGTTCGGTGGAGGAATCTCCCAGGTAGCCATTGAGACGTTTAGATGGGAATTGTAGTGATGGTTCTCCAAGGAGTGAATAGAGACAGATTTGAAGAGCTTGCACTGGGACTTTGCCTCCTCCAGGCACTTATTGTGTGGGAATATAGTGATTTTTTTGGAAGAGTTCTGCTGCGGGGTGAGTTCTTCAGCTCTTCCTACCTGTATGTGGGCTGGGAGGCTGCACAAAAGCCTCGAGTGATCTTGTTCAGAGTTTGGAGTGGGCTGTGAAGCAGGCAGGGGAGTAGGGACATGTTCCAGAGGTGCTCCTTTGGCTACAATAATAACTCTGGTTTTATCTTTTATTGAAATAACCAAGCTTCAAGAACCGTCATTCAGAACCAGATTCATGTGATCTTGAGTGTTATTATGGTGTTAATGTTTTTCATCTGAGCTTAGCGTTGTCTCTAATGAAGCCTGTGATCCTGTTGCAGTGTAAGCAGTGTATGGGGTTGCTCATGTAGGAGGTGTTTGCGGCATTCCCCATCCCAGCATGCAAGGACCTGCTGCTCCCAGAACTTCTCTGGAGCAGGGTTTCATGCTGCTGCTGGCCCCACAGCGTCAGGCAGGCTGTGTGATTCAGAGGGTGCTTTTCAGCCCCACAAAGTGGGGGATGAAGGCTCTATTTCTTGCTCTGCCACTTAGCAGAGCTGCAGAGTTCTGCGGTGCCGTTTTCCTATCTGGAAAATAGAAGTGATGACGCTTACACACCTTGTCAGTTATGCACTGCAAATATCTATGTAAATGAAAGCATCTGTGAAATGTTTTCACTTCCTGTCTGGCTCGGAGTAGTCCAGATGTCCTGGGCATAGTCCGAGTTGCTTTGCTCTCCGGAGAACCTAAAGAAGCTTCTTTCTTCAGAGTACTGAATCACAACACACATAAGGTGCTTTCTTACACTTTGTACCTGTGTCCTTTTCCCATCACGTTTCTCTTGACATCCTTGGCACTCATTTGTGGTGCAAATGGCTCCCATGAATAGGCTT